ATTATTCTCTGATGTCATCTTTAGTGCATAATGGTGTTTTAAGATGTGTTTATGGATTAAGACTGCCCATACACCCATTAAAATTATTTCTTGACCGAAGGGCTGTAGTTTTTTTATTTCTGAAGTGACTCACGGGGTCATGGAAGAAATGCTCCTACAGTTGGATTGCTTCATCACCGATCCTAAGAAAGCCTCTCCCTTTGAAAGAGCTGGTGCTAGTCACTGTCAGAATAACACACTAAATTAGAACAGATTTTAATACTGTGAATATTCGGTGGAAATTCGTATCTTCACATCAAACATAGCAGCATGATCCATAAATGTAGAGACTTCCATAAGCGACTCTTTATCTAAAGGTCCCATCTGCCATTCTGCAATGCTGGGGTACCTCCAGAGTTCTGATAGAACCATAATGATATGCTAGAGTAACATCAGTTCTATGGGATGTTAGATATTCAGTAGCGCCTCTTACATGGGAGAGGATTCAGGCCTTAGTCTTGTATAAAAATATGCTGTCAAAAAGCTAGAAAAAACACACAAATCATCCAGTCCTACACAGTAAAACCAGCTGCCAGGGTTACTTGTGCCCCAGGGCAGCTTTAATTTGGGTATGCAATATATCACCATAGGGCTACTTGATCAGAGTTGCAGTCTCAGGAAATATTTTCAGGACTATTCAATTTCCATTAGCAGTTTCTCCAGGATATATTAGGCACAAACTGGGTTTCCTTCAATATCAATCATTCATGTTTTCTCTTTCATCCTGTCTTTGCTAAAATGGGATTTTCAGGGAGGCCATGAAATTGCAAAATTTAGTCTGTTCTTGTGGCTGGTTCTGTCATTTAGGCTCCTTTGATGGCCTTTCGCAGCAAAGGCTGGGTTGAGGAACCTGTCTCCACCCTAGTGTTAGAGAACACCTGGTAACGCTCAGTATCTTGCCTTTCCATTCAGAACTTTCCTTCCCCTCTACCCCCATCTCTTTCTGCACACTTCAAGACTGATTCTCCTTGGCAGCTCCCTGGTGATGGGCACTTCTCCTCTCTTCCGCACAGACGCCAGTTGGTTACGCTTAGTGCGCGAGAGTAGTACCTTCGCCAGGACTACGGTTAAAAGTCAGTTGCTTATGACTTTCACAGAGCCTAAATGTGATGCTGTAAGCATACAAACGCTAGCTCTGCCTCCCAAGGTCCCTTCCAAATTGAATTATCCTACAACATTATTACATTCATACCTACGACGCAGAAACGACAAGACCCGAGGACACCTTCTTACTGAAAAGACTACAGAGCTGCAAATAGTGCTTCTTGTTGTGAAAAGGGAGAAAGAAGCAGCTTTGAGAACTGAAATGTGCTCATGAGGGGCAGCTGGTGAGACCAGCTGGTGACTCACATGATGTGGAAGCTCCCTGAGAAGTGGACTTTGCTGACCCAAGACCAAAAAAAAAAAATAAATCCCCAAAGCAATTCAGAGAATAACCAAAACCCACCAGTGCTCATGATTCTTGCATGTTCCAAGTCCTTTGTAACAGCAACCAGCTCAATTATCAGTGTTCTTAGTCACTTTACTAATTATATGATTCTGATTTTCTAAGTTAACTCCTGGAATTTCCTCCCTCTGATTTGCGAGGGCACTTCTCAGGGCCAGCATTTCCCTCCATTTAGCTAAAACAAACAAGAGCTTTCTCTTTGAAAGTATTTTAGCATCATGAGATAAGTTTCCTTCCTCCTTTTAATAATTGCAGGGCTCTCCAGAGGAAAGTGTCAACAACATTATTTCCTTCCCAATTCTAAGAGAGATGCAATGTTCTTGTAGGTGGTGAGATTAGATTACAGTAAAATTAATTGTTGGTTTCAAGCTTTCATTCTTTGGGCAGCAACCTCAGCTCTCATGAACGTGTTACATCAACACACAGAATCATAGAATGCTTTGGGTTGGAAGGGACCTTTAGAGGTCATCTAGCCCAACCCTCCCTGCAGTGAGCAGGGACATCTTCAACCAGACCAGGTTGCTCAGAGCCCCGTCCAACCTGACCTTGAATGTTTCCAGGGACGGGGCCTCCACTACCTCTCTGGGCAACCTGTGCCAGTGTTTCACCGCCCTCATTTCTTCCTTCTATCCAGTCTAAATCTACCCTCCTTTAGTTTAAAGCTGTTACTCCTTGTCCCATCATAACAAGCCTTCCTAAAAAGATTTTCCCCATCTTTCCTACAGGTCCCCTTTAAGCACTGAGAGGTTGCAATAAGGTCTCCCCTGACAGCCTTCTCTTCTCCAGGCTGAACAGCCCCAACTCTCTCAGCTTTTCCTCACAGGAGAAGTGCTCCAGCCCTCAGATCATTTTTGTGGCCTCCTCTGGCCCCGCTCCAACAGGTCCGTGGCCTTGTGCTGAGGGCTCCAGAGCTGGACTTACCTGTGATCTTTACTCACCTTTCCCACTTCTCTGCATCAGACAGTCACGGAGCACACAAAAGCTGCAACCCACAACCAAAAGGCATAAAATGCAGCAGTTCATGTGACGGCGGCACCTTAATTCTCTACCCGTAGGAGTGTTCCTGAGGGCAGGGCACATGGGAAGACACGGGCTCACAGGCTCTGTCTTGGCGAGTTTACCATAGCATGGGAACAGTGGTAAGCAAAGCTCCTGCAGAGCCCGGGGCTTGGGAAGCAGGAAGCAGCAATGCCGAGACTGCGTGGTCAACTGCTGTCCATCTCCAACCCCTTCACGGAGACGACCCATTTGGATATATTCTTTTATGAATAAATAAGTGAATAAATACAATCAGCTAGCTCTGCCTGTTACTCACCCTAACCACAGCAGGGTGGATTGATAGCTTGTAGATGGGGTTTTTGAGGAGATATGGAGAAAGCGTCCTTCCAGATTAATTCAAGGACAGCACTCTAAGGAGTCTGTTACCCATTTTTCAAGCATTCCTATGTTTATTTACTGAAACAACAGGAGTAATATGACATCATAAATCTTTTGAAAATTGAAATAGTAGTGCCAGTCTTGAAAGATTAATAATAAGGAACGCCTTTTAGACTGTGCTCATGGAAATGTAATATGAATGATTAGTGTTTTTGAACATTAGAATTACAGTGTATAATTGTAACGTTATAGCAGCTATATAGGAGCCAGTGATCCTTTAATGGAATACATTGTGAATTTAATTATTTACATGGAAAAATCAGGGCTGATATTGTCACGGAATGATGGACCTACCGTTCCCTACACCCCAGCGTTGCTGTCTCTGCAGATGCGCTCAGTCCACGTTTGTTATTTAGTTTGTATTAAATTCCACCCCACCGCAGATATGCTCTTGTGGCAGTTAGTCTGTCTTCCTGCACGGCCTGCCACAGGTGCCAAACTGCACCGCACCAGGACTCCGCTGCGGGAGAACGGGGCCTGCGTGGGAGCCTGAGGTTCGTTCCTCGGGCGGGGAGCAAGGTGTCTCCTGCTGCAGAGCCAAGCAGCCACCCAGGGCGCTTGGCCCTCTGCTTCTTCTGCAATGGTGGCTTCAAAACTACTTGGTGAAATTACATCCAGCAACAGCATGCTTAAAGATATGTATATATGCTTGGGAGACACATTTCCCTAGAGTGGCTTCTGGGTATACGTACAGTCACTGAAAAAAACCCAGGAGTTCTTCAGATGCTTTTATAATGTCAGTAATTTTCAAAGTCCCGTTTCAGTCAAGAGCAAAACCTCACTCCCCAGCACAAAAGGCGGTACTGCATGAATTCAGTACCCCTGTCTCGGTGATTCTCCGCGTGGGTACCTGCCACCCGCCGGGCGCACCTTGCTGGCTCCCCAGCTGCCCGGGGGTGCCGGCGTGTGCCTCCGTGCCTCCTGCTCACCCCAGGGCTCCAGGCACCCAGCAGCATTCAGAGGTTTTGCTCACTCATGCGAACAATCAATTTGATAACAAAGGGAAGAAAGAAGGAGAATTTTAAAAATCCTCTCAGCCCCAGTCGAGGGCCTCATCGTAAAACTATCGGACAGAATCCAGCGGACTGGAAATGACCCCTCCGATGAGCCCCGGCCCCGGGAAGCGCAAAGTTCAGGACGGAGGTGCGCTCGCCGGGTGCCCTGCGCTCCCTCACGCTTGGCTCTCGCCGCTGCTACTGACCCACGCTGCTGCACATCGTTCAGGTGAAAAAAAGAGCGTCTAACCAAATTGGGCTGCAAGCGGTTTGTGCCTGAACTAGAGGCCTTCCTTCCTTCTTGCTGGAAAAAGGTTGTGATTCAGTGAATCACGAATTCCAAAGACTCCTGGTGCGTGATCCTGCACGTGGGCGTGTGTCTTTTGCACGCAAGGAACTGTAAATGCACCAGGTAAGAGCACGTTTGTTAACACAGTTTATTGGCACACTTATTGGCAAAGCATACATAAAATACAGTTGTATTATATAACACACTGACTCACTGTGTCTTTACATGATGAGTTGAACATATTAATATGTAAATGAAAAAATTAGTTTCTTTATAAAGTTTCACATAAATACACCATAATAATAATAATAATAATAAAAAAAAGTAAAACAAAAAAATGGTTTGAGGGCTTTACAAAAATATTATACAAGAAATATACTATGAAAAGAAATAACAACAAAGCCAACTCAGATACAATAATAAAAACACAAAAGTTTTAGATTTATTAAGCTGCCCACAAAGTTAATGGATTACATGGCTTTAAAATATCTGGATCGACAGCAATTTTACAAAGCATAAACTCTCATAGGGCTGGGTGTCTTTTTCCACATAAAAATATTTCTCATGTCTTTGATGAAAAAAAGACATTTCTTGTTTCAGCATTTTTATTAAATGATGGAAAGAGTATCTACTGGCATCAGCTAAATGCAAATTAAAAATGCTGGATCCTTTAAACGATTAACTGATGAAAGGTAAGTTAAAGAAAGAACAAAAGTTACTTTAAATTACTTTTCCTTAAAAGCGCATTTTTTCTGAAACAAGAAATTTCAGGTGCAAGTTGAAAAGGAGAAAATATATTACAATTGTAAAAAGTTATACATAGTTACTCATAGTTAATGAGATCCTGAGCACTGATGACTTGTTAAAATATGGCCATTGTTTGAAGAGGAAAAACACAACCCTTTCCAACAAAATGCATTGTCAGAAATTTGCCATGAGATGCTATTTAATTTTCAATTATTTTAATTGAGGTCAGTGCCAGTATCATGTTGCATGTGAATGCCTCCAAGAAATGTATATGAAAGCTTATACAAGAGTTTTTCCTTAATTAAAAAAAATCAGATAGCTTTAGTTTAGAAATAGATACTGTATCTGTTGAAAGGTGGTTTTTAAAATTTTGTTTTGAAGAATGCTGTGAAACAGGAATTAATAACCCACCGACGTACACTGCAGTGGGTACGGCTGCAGAACAACCTATTGGGAAGCTTGCGGTGTGGGGTTTTCAGGTTTAGTCTCCTGGTTAGCAGGAGGTTTGCTGTTCCACGGGCTGTTATTTCCCAGTGCAGGTGAATTGTTGAAATCTTCTTCATCATCCATGCCATTTGCTGCATCATACTGTGTGTTCTCTAATCTAGTGATAAGCCTTTCATCTTCGTCCCCAAATTCGCCTCCCATCAGAGTTGGTTCTCCTACCACCATCACATCCTGTGAACAGCACCCAATATTTGTTATATGGAAACCTTGAGAGAGAAAAAATCAACTTAAAAAAGTTACGTTAGAGAATTTGCATCTCTTAACTTTGTGATATTTGAACAACAGAGTTAAAAGTTCCTGCATAGCAGGAATCAGAAGACAGGCTTAAGCTTTATTTCTCATTTAAACGACAAACTGTAACACATCTCTCTAGCTGCATGCTCATGGCTCTGGATCTCAGAAACCCCAGCACTGAAAAGCAAGGAGACTGAAAAATGTGCATGACTTTAAGCAAATAAGCAGGCTACAAAACTGCCTTAAGAGTCCTGCTTGAAATATTTAGCCTTTATCCAGTAATTCTTTCCTGAGCCATTTTATCTGGAAAGGCACCGGGGTGCATCTCAGTTGCAACTCGGCGATATGCGTATTTTAAAAGTAGTTTAAAAGAAACCTCATTTCTTATCCTCAGACTTCTCAAAAGTGGAGCACAGCACTCTAATAAAGATGGTAACTCTCTTATCCATAGCCAGCCAAGCCCTTTTACGCATCCAATATACTTGACATTCTGCTACTTAATTATGGTAATTAATTTAGGTAAAGTTTTCGATAAAAACAATGTTCACACTGATTTGACAATTTGCATAGCTAATTAAGTCATTAGCAAAAACCTGCTGATTGCCAACAAGCCCTGAATTTACCATCTGTTATTTCATGGTGCCTGTCACCTAACTCCATGTAGGCAACCCTGCCGCCAATCTGTGCAGTAAGAGGACCAATCTGTCCAGCTGGTACCGTAAAGGGAAGATGAAGAGTGCTAATTATAATTACACTGATGAAGCTAGTAGTCATCAAAAACTGAAGCATGCAAGAAAGAAAGAATTCATCTAATCACTGCTTTAAGTACAAATTGTCCTTCCATGAAAACAAGTAAACCGCCTACTGTACTCCAGTGCATCATAGATTTGCTGCAAAAACCCTAACCGGCACAGGACAGAGAGGTGCAAACTTGAGGTCAGAAAGCAAAGGTGCAAAGCCAGAGAGCTCTCTTGTTCTCTCTGTCCAACGGAGAATCAGGCTGCTGGGCTAACGGCTACAGAAACACGTGGGATGCACCCTTCCGTGCAGCTCAGGTGGCAGGGCATCCGCCAGCGTCTGGTACAAGCGTGGTAATTCCAGATGTCCGGCTTTGTACCTGCTGATTTAACCGGCCCTTCCAAGAATCCTAGCAGGCAACAGATTCTCATTTTAAAGGATCTGTTCCTCCTTATGAATGTAAAAGCATTTGTACAAAGCAAACAGCAGACAAATGTTTGCCTTCAGTAAGGTTTCTGTTTAATCGGGTACGTACCTCCCTCACCACAAAACAACACAAATCATTGCCTGTAAGCATTTACACTGCTTCTTGATATCCCTCAGCAAAGGCTGACATGCTACAGAGGAATGTTTATATCACATTTTCAGCCTGTGATGTGTGAAAAATTTGTGAGTAGATGGAAAGTGTTGCATGAGTTCTTCTTTACATTGTCTATATTTTGTTACTACCTATATCCATAAAATATTTGGTTAAATAAAACTCACACACAGCTTTGCAACGTAGAAGTTTAAAAGACAAAGGTGTTAATAACCGAAAGTTTATCTAAACTTATTTCGTCCCTCTCAACAAAAGACAATGTATAGTGTGCAGTGCTGAACCAGACCTGACCCCGTGGTACTGCGAGAGCTTTAAGGACAAGAGAGACCTGGCAGAGGACAGCAAGTCGGGTTTGAGTGTGCGGTGTGATACGGCAGGCAGAAAGGACCACAGCAGCTGAAATGCAGAATCACAGACCAAGGCGGCTACTGTTCCTCTTACTTCTACGCTCCTGAGTGCAGACCTCAAGTTCTCCCTGTTGCCATACCAGCAAGAGGTCGGCAACTTGGATGAGACTTCGAGAAGCGCATCAAAAACTGCTATGGGGCTAGGACAGCTGGCTGGGGAGGCCACGGGACGGAATTACATAAGTATTACATCCACCAAATGATGGGGAGGGGTAAATATGCTTAACAGCTGCAAGTGCTGCAAGGAAGAGGATCGCTGTAGGTCAATCTGATGAGATGGAAACTAGGGTACTAAGATGACATTAAGTAAAGCAAAACGTAAGCCTCACTGCTAAGACAATACTCCTGTTACTGAGAACTGCAGCCTGAGGAGCAATGACCCCACGGGAACGGTGCTAGCTGTGCTGCGCAGGTCACCTGATGCTGGGCTGGGAACAAGCTCAGTCCGTGGCAGGAAACAGTTGTGCATCAGCGGGGAGGTGCTCAATGACCCTGTAAGTATTTCCATCTCTAATTTCTCAGATACTCTGCGAATGTGATTCCTTTAATATTATGACACCCACTGAGAGGACAGTTCACGCTCATATTTATCTCCATGCTATTGAGTATCTCTCTCTCTCTGGGAATTAAACTACAATTATACTGAGGTTAGCGGGGTTTTCCCTCATTCTATTTAGAAGATAGATATCACAGAATTAGTTACAGGACATTTTAAAAAAATAATATAAATATTCTTGACAATCCTGCCACTTACAGTTATGCCAGGCAAAAACAGTGTCTTAGGAAGCGCACATGCTGGTTCCTCCCCAGAGAGGATTCTGCTCCTCAGACTGAAAGCTGAAGACCCCACCGAGTGCACCCCATTGAACCTCCACTCTCTAGTTCCCGTGCAATGACCACCAACCTCTGAGGAGGACTGGAAGTGACTCCTTTTAGAGCCCCTCAATGCTTCTCCTTAAATTGGCCAGTGGGGGTCACTGCTGTTGAATGACACAAGGCTCCATCCCTCCCAGGGTTGAGGCTGCAGCTCTGGAGTGCTCCTAGCTCCTGCTCATGGAGTGAGAAGCAGAATCCAAGAATTAAACCCTAGTCTCTCGCATGGCAGCACACACTGCTATGGCCTAGTTATGGTAGCACATATTTGACTAGATTAGTTTAAAAAAGATTTAGACTGTAGTCACTCAATCTTATTGATTTACTCTGTGATTAGAAACAACATTTTTGGTCAAGGAATGTCTCATGATAGTAAAATATAGTTTCAGTGAAGCACTGTAAATAAAGCAGTGGCTGTTTTACATTATGTGATAGAAATGTATTCTTTAATAATATAAGCACAAAAGCAGCTTTAATGTATATCGTACCTTGCATCCTGAAATCACCCTAATTGCCATCCAAACTTCAATTGACGCACATAAACTATACACAGAGATCACTTCATACACAACTCAAATGTAAGCACTTCTATTTAACAGACCGCTCATTTCTCAAGCTTCATCTTTTTTATACCTAACCTCAAAGTTTAGCTCTGCTATGCCCAGTTACATAACTAAACTCTTTAACTTGGGATTTGAAAGACCATCTGATGGCTAAGCAATATCTTACTGTAGTCTGGAGGTAAAAATGTGTGGTGGGCCACGTAAAATTCCCCATCCCTATGTCTGCCGTCTTTGCTGCTGTTGATACGTAGCCCCGCTGCCCCGTGTGTTACGGTGATTAGTTCATGGCTCAGGTGTGACAGTCCCCAGAAGTAGAAGAACAGTGCTTCACAAGCCTGAGATAATTAAAAAAGCCTGAAACTATCAAGTATATTGTTCAAGCAAGCCTCTACTCCAAGGACTGAAAGTGGCACTAGTTTTAGCAGCCAGTGTACCTCTAAGTCAAAAGAAGAAGGGTACCTCCTCCTGCCTGCCTTCCTTCCTTCTTACAGAATTGTGTTAGCGGTGATTATTTTAATAATTGACTTCTTAGCTCCTTGCCACAAAAATTATTAAGGATTGAGAGCCCCATTGCTGCCCACACCCGTAATGGTGACTACCTCCAAGAAAAAAACATCGGACTGATGTTGGTGTTGAAATGATCTACAGAAACAGAACTGACATTTTAATTAGGTTTCAGAGTAAACACTTCGTAAAGGAAAACGGTCATCTTTCACATCTTATCACAGTCCTCTCTGTTAACTTGACATTCTGGTCTTGTTTGGAATATTTTTCCTAAAGCGCAACAACTGGAAACCAATTTGTTCACTCTCATCTCCTTACGACTAAATCTTAAATTCTGAGTTGCACAGTTCTGAAACATGGGATGATTTCCGACACTAATCTGCTGACCCTGGAACCGTAGTTCCAGTACTACTACATCCATTACAAACCACCTAAACATACCCCCTGTTTCTGAAACACGTAAGAGATTGTCTTGCTCCCTTCCACATTAGCAGGTTTATTTATGAATTTGGCTTTTGGAGGAGATTACAGAAAACTACAAAGAGAAAGAGAGATTACTGAGGTATGTAACTCCCTTAATGAGTGCAAGGAGGCTCTAATTAAGACTCTGGATGTAACAAAGAACATTTGATTTACTTAGTGGCATGTAGTGATGCTTTATTCTTTCTAATACAAATGATATTTCACTAGGTTCATGGTTACAGTATTACACTCAACAGGATCTTCATTAGTAAATGAAAGAAAAATCCACCTACTAATTCCTATGGTTATGACTGGGAGAAGCCTAGAGCAATGGTTCTTGGAGTTTGTGAGAGTTGTGCATTGTTGTCAAATTTCCAAATTCAAATTGATGAAAATGGATGAATGTGCATGTTTTTTACTAAACTTAAAAGAAAGTGATTTTTAAGTGATATGGCTGTATGAACCTCTTCTGCTGATCCTGCATATACCTGTTGTAATCCACAGATCACAGTGCACAGGTCACTGCTCTATGTACGAGGGCCTGGGCTTGCGAGAAAGATTTATTTGAAACAGAAGAATATGAAAAATGCAAAGGAATACAATTTCAGCCAGTGAAGAGGCTTGAAAACTGAGTAAGACTTGGGAAAACACTGCAGCTAGCTTTGGATATTAGAGGAAATTAGTACTGTGCAAGCGATATGGCAGTGACACACCCAAACCAGATAACTAATTTCTTTAAAATCATAGGAAAGCTAACATTAAGAAAGGCAGGTTTTCTATGAACCTTGCAGAAGGAGTCTTGCCCATCTTTGCTCTTTGTTTGGAGGAAAGAGGAAATTGGTAATTCCAGTTTCTGGACAATGGGTTAATGTTTCTGCCAAAGCTCAGATGTGATCCAGAACATGCACAAATCTAAGAACAGATCAAATGACTGGCACCTGCTGAGACTAAGACGGCTGAGCGGACTACAATTTCTGGGTCCCTGTTTTGTCAGCTTGCTTTATGCACTAAAAAAAGCCAATGCATCTGTAGAAATCACTGGAAATATTGAGCCTGCACCAATGAGAGCCTGGGAGAAGAAAACTTCTGGTGAGAAAAACGGTTTTGTATTCGTGCTATTGCAGAGGCTTTAGTGGCACTTGGTTCTACTTCCAATACACTAGTGTGTCTCCTCAGCACTTACAGATCCAGGTCAAAAGAATCACTGGACAAGTACTAGGCCAACCTAGGCATGAGCTGTGCAGTGCAATCATGTAGCACACTGGCTGACTACATTTTTTTTAAGAAAATAGGAAATATGTAATATGTAGGAAAGGTGTTAAACAGGGGACTTGGGCAGGAAGAGTCATATTGACAAGAGGAGATGCTGCAGGTCCGCAACCAGTAGCATGAGAACTAACAGAACCACGGAAACCACATTATAAAGGAAAATGAGCGTAACAGAGTGCAAGTGACTGTCAAAAGGGCAAAACTTTGTATTTCATTTAGCAGGGTTGAGAAAGTATAAAAAATTATTAGAGATATGACGACAGACTGCAACTGACCCTTCTCAAATTACTGATGAGAGGGAAGATGCATACCCACCCACTGGCAGACACCATTCAGATGCTTTCGAAGACTGTGTTATTAAAGATGTATAAGAATGTGTCAACACAGTCAAGGTGCTCATAAATTTAAGGCAACACAAAGGGCAGAAACAATACTGATTGATTATGCTGCAGCAACTGAGCTTCAGGGTACAGTGCCAACCTGACCCATGCATGGAAATACAACCACATCATTTCACTTTCTGGGCTTGGCTCTGTATTGTCAGCACTGTCCCTGACTGAAGAACTGATCAGAAAATAATACAGGTAGAGGAAATGGCACAACTATTGCTGAAAAAGAATATGTATGTGACAAAAAACGGTCCATCTCATTGATCAAGGTTGGCTTAGCCCCATGTATTTATCTGAAGATCTGGAAGGGGCTATGGGGAAAATGACAAAACTGTCTGAAGTTTCAAGCTTTGTCATAGCTGATGGTACTGCAGCTGCTTTCCGGTCACTGTCCTGAACACGGAACATTTGCCTCTCCAGACCTGAAGACCTAATTAAAGAAATAGAAATTAATGATGTGGGTGAGAAATGTGGATGAGGGATATGGTAAGGTCACACATTTGCCAGTGTACACAGCATTACTCTAGGAGCAAAACTGAATAATTACTAATGCCCTAAACCAAGAAACATTACATGGAATAGAGGCTAAGGAAACATTCTCTAACCAGGATTAATTTAATTTAGTATCAAAGGGAAACCAACATAGGGCCCTAGAAGTGACAGGAAATTAGGAGTTAGATTCTATTACGGTGGAGAGTCTGTCTTTGCTGGCTGGGAACAAATCACTGGAGAAAAAGAGAAAGCTGGAGTACATGACTTCATATTAATCCAAATTTGGTATGAATATGAGCTCGTTGTTGGGGTTCTCCAGAGAGGATGATGGGAAAAGTGGAACTGAAACTAGCTCTACTTATGTGAGTCATCTGGACAGAAGATGCAGTGACTTCATTCCTCTTCTCTAATAATGAGGGGGGAAAATGCTTTCAACATTGAAAATGAATTATTTCAATAGGTTTTTTTCTACTGAGCAGGAAAGTCCCATTTACAGAAAGTCCTATAGCCAAATGAAACTTTTAGTTAGTTGAAAAATTGTGTTTGACTATATCTTGTCTTGTATTGCATATAAGGAAAATCTAACTAGTGAATTATTTGCTTTAAGGTAAAGTTAAGAGAAAGAAACAGAAAGCAAGCTACTGCTGCCTGCAGCTAACTTCAGAAAGCAGCGGCATACCTGTAATAAGGTCCACTTCAAAGAATGCATAATTTTGAAGAAACATGGTAACATCTCTCTACTTAACTGAAAAGTGTTGAAAACCAAAATATCCTACTGCTAAAATTATTTTGAGTTCTATCTACTCTACAGGGTGGCCCAACCATCAATTCCATCTGGTTTGCTATGTTTGCTGTGGGGAAGATAGGAGGAGCTGTTAGCATGTCAAACCGAACAGCTAAGCATTTTCCACTGTGCAGACTGAAAGAAGAAAAGCCCTAAAAATGGAACCTGATCTTCCATAGAAAAGAGTTTGGACCATCTTGCTACTCTGGTACAGAGAGCAACCAATATTGGAAAATATTGACTATGCAGCATCCCAAAAGTCAATGAAGACTGAAAATCCATTCCTCATATCATGATAAACTTCACCATTATGTCCCAGATGCTCAACTACCATCTCCACCAGGAAGAGTAACCTTGACTACTTCATCTGTCAGGAGCAGCCTTTCAGGTCCTGAAGTCAGCTTGAATATCAGTGGGAGTGACAGGTACTTATCAGAGGGCTCAATTACACTCAAACATACGAGCACACATGGCTACCACCGAAGCCAACAAAAGTTGTCTCTCCAGGGAGGAGCAGGCTGAAGAGAGGCAGAGAGTCAGGTTCCGGTCCTACTGAACTGAACTCAGGGCAGGGAGTAGCCAGGATGAAGTGACTTTACCGTCTTTTAAACTTGGAGACAGCAGGGAACTAGCTGATTGCTCAGTTTTACATCTAGTTGCTGTTTTTTTCTTAAATATGGTTGGTTATTGATCCAGGGGGTTTTCTGGCAGACACGGTCAGTGAGGCAGAGTGGCCTGTGCCACAAGGGATCAGGTAGCTGGCCTTCTGACTGCTTTGTGCTGCCACAAAACCCCAGGGATGCCTATATTAGGAAAAGAATCTGGCTCTGGGGATGCAAGCCACATGAAAGTTTTAATATGACATGGAGAATATATGAGTTTAATGTACTGAAGCCCAAAGCTTTTGCAAGCTAGTGGATTGCTGAATCAGTTGTTAAACAAAAATCTTCATTTGATTTCACTGGTGTCAGTCTACTCCACTTCTTTATCTGGGTATTCAAGCTTCCTAGCAAGTGCCTGCTTTGTGCTAACAAAAGGCCTATCTTCTTTGTCAGTCTTCAGAAGAGACCTAGCCCTTTCCTATCTGCTGATCAGAAATCCAATAAAAGTCACTGTGTGTTATTCCCAAGATCCCACTTTACAGTTCCTATAATATCAAATTAATTTCCCTAGCTTTAAAATGCATAAACTACCTCCTTATTGACTAAGGCACACTTTGTCACAATTTGGGGTCTGATTACCCCAAATAAATGTGATTATTGAAGCGCTGGTACAGTTCTGGAAATGACTTGCTGTTTCCCTGTACAATTAGGATGTCAACAGTTACAGCTAGCAGAGTGGACAAGCTGAGACCCATATCCCAGGGGATCTGCCCTCTGCAAGTGGAGTGGTTGGAAGAAGAGGTAACCTCTGGAGGTAAGTTAATGCATAACCTGTTCCACTGAAGCATCTGAACTTGGCACCGACTAGAGGTAAGGTACTAACATAGAGACACCAGCGATCTGCTCAGGTGTAGCTGGCCTGTTCCACAGGGACTCATCCTCACTTAGCACCTGGCAGATGGAAGTCTGAAAGACTCATGCTACATCTAAAAACACGAGGCCAAATCTGAGTCCCACCGCCAGTGAAAAGACTCCCACTGACAGAATGGGAGTTGGCCCAGGCCTTAAAAAAATAACATCTGGTCCTCAGGATACCCCTGCTCAGGGGTCATTTGTTAAAGCTGCACTGCAGAATGGCTTCTTCACATCTTGCCACTAATTCCCCAGCTCCCATGGCACACTGTGCAAGATCGCCTTTTGCTTGTGATAGTTTAGACTCAAGAATGCACCTTCTTTACAATGTAAGGAAAGAATTAAAAAACTGTAAATGATTCAGGCCTAAAAGGAAAGTGAGACTTACAGGTACCTGACTTGATAGACTCAGGTTTGCAGCAGCTGACTTTTTCTTGCTGTTGGTACTATTTGTGTTGTTCCCAGCACTGCTGTTGGAAGTGCTGCTGGTAGAGTTTTTCCTTTTTCTCCGTTTGGTTGTCGGTTGTCTTGTGGGTTCTGCTGCAATAAAATAGGAAAAAGGAAAGCAAATGGCAGATATTGTAAAGCGTGTACTAAAATGATCCACAAGCAGCAGTGCTGAAATATTTTTTCATCTAGTTTTAAATTCCTATGTTTACTAATAGTTGTGCTACTAGTAGTAGTATCAGATTCAACATACGAACTGTAGAATAATATTTGGACCCAAACCAATGGAATCTGCTTTCAATTTTGTATAATGGACTAATGAAGCTTATTCTCCCAGCATTACCTATAAAGACATTTGAAAGCATTTTACCAACGGGAGTATCACGATAACTATCATGATGCTCAAAGTGACCATGTAACTTGCTGGAGGTCACAGAGCAAACAACAGTGCTGAACAAAAATCCAGATCTTATTCCGATGCAGGGTGCAGCCTCAACTGACCCAGACAGAGGCAAAGGCTAAAGGCAGCTTTCTACCCTACTGCTGCCATCAATACAACACACGAGCAACTACCGTTCCAGTTCCTTCTACCTCTGATGTGGGCTTCACCTCTAAAACTGCCACTCCCCAGGGAACACGCTGGAGCGTGCTGAATGCCATTTCTCTGCGAGTCTTCCAAACTCAGATCGAATCAGGACAATTACATAACTTTTCTTAAATTGGAAAAGAACAGAGGGGCAACTGTACTTCTCAAAATTTGGCCTGGGCACCCATGTGAATAGTCTTAGATATACAAATCTTTAATAATTTGAAAAAAGAGAAGTATTATTTTGAGGTGCAAGAGGAAGGAGATTAGGTCCAGGCCTGTAAATAACATTATATTAGTCTCAAAGACAATTAATTATGAATTGTAGCTGTAATTTCAGAGTCACAGCAGGAAGCTGAATTACACAAACGATGAATTCTAATGGAGCCAGTAGGCATTTTGCATTCCATCTACACATATTTTTGTACTAAATTATATCCTAGTCATAGTGAAACCATCTGAGTGTGCACATCTATAAATCAGTTGGGTCAGACTGAAATCATAAAACATCAGAATCATTTTCAGGCTTACTTTTGCAACAGTGCTAATTCTTATTACTTTCCTTTGTAAGTAAATTTGCAGTAAATTTTCCCATTGTTTCTACATTAATTTAACTACAAAAGAAGTAAAATACTGGAAATGAAACATACCTGGTGGGGCCACCATTCTTTGCCATTTTTGAAACAAGCACGTCTTCAAGCAGTCTCGAGGACTTAGATTGTAAGTTTTATGTCTTGACATCAGTTCCTGCATTGGCTCCAGTATTACACACAACTGGAAGAAAAAGTCAGAACAGAATGATTTCATCCAAGCAAAGACTCAGTTGATCAGTATTTACATAGCTGGAAAGTATAGTCTTGGCTTTTTTTTACCCTTGCTAACAGACTATGCCTTGTACAGCTCAGTTTCATCTGCATTGGGATTGCAGGATCAAAACTCTGAATTGAGAAAACTTGCTTGCTATTTGCTAGCTTAAGTATTTTTTAAAAAATCAGATAAACTTCAATTCTGGTCTTCCAGACTACAGAGATTTCAGAAGAGTAGAAAATTTTCATGCTTGATTGCAAAGCAGTAAAGATGAATTAATAAATAATAAAATAGAAAGCTATCATTCCCATATAGCAAAATGTACACACAGTGATCTTCTGACCTGCTGCACTCCACAGTGTAGACTTCTTATAAATGAGGGTTGTAAACATGATATTTTATCTTGCTATAGCATACAAAATAATTCAAATAATTTTGTTCCTTTCTTGTTATGAGGACTATACGTTCTCTTCCCATCACATGAATGACATGTCCAAGAAAAAAAAGAAGTATTTTATTTTCCTTGTCAGCTTGAATGCTCTATGATGTCAAAGATGGAGATTTCTGAAAACATGGAATTTCAAGCAAACCTCTTCTCTAAATAGTCTTCTATATTTTCTATCTGTTCACTTAGTAATTAAACCCACTGTTCACCGCTTTTTGATCCTCTTAGCGCAGCAGATCTACCACAAAGAACACAGTGAGCTGGTTTCTATTCCCTCCTGTTTATCACTACAGAATCATTTCCAGTCAGTTAAACCTTACGCAAAGCCACAGAAGACTACAGAATTGCACATAGGTAATGAAGGGCTTACTCTCGCTGGCAGGATCCTTGGTTTTTTGGTCATCCTGCATGAACAGAAAAAACCTAGGTTCCACCTGAAATTTGCAGGGCTGGCACATAGGAGGAGAAGGTTCCTTACTTGCTAACTGAGCATATTTGATAAGGAAATAGCTGACACCAAATAAACACGGAGGCTGCATGCCATTTTTAGTCACTTTTTAAAGCAGAGCTGCATTTAGATGCAGGGGAAGGTGTAGCTTTTTTTACCAACATAAGTGAGGCAACAAGTTGGTCAAATTATTAACAGTTAGAATGGCAGCTGCAGAAAGGCATAACTTAAGCGAGTCTCGTTTTGAGTTATTTACTTAATTTTAGCATGTCTTGCTTGGATTTACTTCAGCCGGCAATGCTTTCCTTCCATACTTTAGCAAATATATAAGACATGAGGCAAATTCTTCTCCCTGCACAGCCGATCAATGTTTGCTCCATTCTCCCCATGTGCACTCCACTCTCATTCATATCAATGGAGATGCCAAGTATACAGGGAAAATAGCTGAAAGGGAGCTGCCACGCGGACTGAGAGACTAATTCAGTATTTAAATATTATAGTGTGTTGGCACTGCCTTTTGATGAGCCTTTCATTAACAGCAGTTAAAACAGAGATAACATAAAGCAGCAGGGAGAATGAAGAGCTTCAGTATGAGGAATTATTTTTTTTCAACTGCAGAAACTGAATCTGCAGTTGCCTCATTGACTTTTTCCTTACATAGACGTTTTACATGTACTTTTGTAGATAAATATCGGCAAGGTAATCTAATAGATGGAGAGCTGCTATCAGATTGTGCACTTTGGGCTCAGATTTTCCTCTGTTTCAGTGTTCTACCAAAAATTATGAGTATCAGGTCCTAAAGTATTTGCAGGATACAGTTTATGCTGTGAAAAAGGTGTTGTATTTTGAGTTCTTATTCAATTTATTCTGAAACCTGCAGGCACTTGCTCAGGTTTTGTGTGAGAGAGATTCGTCATCATAATCGACACCGTTGCTTTGGTTCTCAAAAGTCTGGGTTTCTGACAGAGCTGCCTAAATTGTCTCATTATGAACTGACAGTAACTAGCATGAAAAAGATAGCTGTGATAATTCTTAACAAACTAGTTAGCCTGGGCAGAGCACCACACTCACATAGCTCTACTGCTGCTGGGACTAAAAGTATGTAAATATACATGTAGGGTCTTCCAAGATTTCCTTAGAGACACTTTATTCATGACACATTTACTCTTCTGTATATATTTATTGTTGGCAACAAAGAGAATGTTACTTCTTTATCATCTGGCAAAGATTTTTCCCATTGTGCACTCACCACAGTGCACACTGAGGAGTCCCTGCTGCCTCCAGATATCTTGACTGCTAATCCTCTCTATAATCTCTTTCACTTCACACTCGAGATGAAAACTGGATAGGACTCAAAATGTAGCAATGCCTGACCGATCTCACACGCATGGACTCAAAATGACAAGAGCCAGGGCCCCTACACTGGGACATGGGACAGTCTCATCTCCTGGATATTTGGGAGCTGTATGGACTTGCACAAATTCCTCTTCTGGTTCTGGGACTGGGGAATTCTCAACCATTTTCTCCCTCTAAAGTCTGAAAATTGTAAGGTCAGCTTTGGATGCCCAAGTAATAGGACAGCATTGAACTCTGTAATGACAAGTCCATTTTAAATGCATCTCGCTCATGTGAATTGTGCACAAATGTAAAATGAACTGGATTAACGATGATTGATATTAAATCTCACAGTCTTTTTCAGTGACCTTTGAGTCCTACTTGAAATCTAAAGTGACTCAAAACCAAATCCCTGAAAGAGGAAAAGATCGCGGTCCAATTATCCTAAGTCTGAGGAACCTGCCACTGACAATCAGTAGCTTGGTTTTGCAAAGAGCTAGATGAAGAATGTGGGGACAAGATGCATTTAAGAGCTAGGCTGGTCAAAACCACCTGCTGTCTTTAACTGCTAGTGAGCAGGGTAACTGGCAGTCTCATTTGACTGCATCATTTTATGAAGTGACTTCTTAAAACAAAGCTAACAAAATGTTTTACATACTCCTACATTCATTGGCATATAGAAGCCTGAGGCTTAGACTGCCTGTTCCCCACAGATATCCTCATCTCACTATGTGAGATTCCTTTTCAAAACATCTATTTTGACATTTTTTCAAGCATTGGATACTATTAAAATGTACAAGTCTGTACTGTAGCACTATAATATTTGGAACACCAACAAAATGATCTCTTCTACAAGCATTGTCTGCACAGCTCAGAATCAGCCACCCAGGAAAACATCCTAAAGCCTTAAAGACTTCAGTGCAGTCTTTAAGATGATGTATGATCACAGAAATAATTTCTACATTTCTAGGGACCCAGAACCTTTAATGGCAATGCTTGACAAGACATGATTAGACATTTCCAAGCTCCGCATTTAGGCAACACAAAAGGTGGGACTCAGTTGCCTGCACGCAGGTGCCTAGTGCCAGCCGAAATGCCCTAGGTTATGCTGGATCTGACCCATCTGATTGTTCCTGCTGTCCCAGAAGGACACAAGGCTTCATGTCCATCGTTCACGCACTAGAAGGTGTCTTAAGTGGGTGGGCAACTGAATGAAGCCCAAAATTACAAGAAAAGCTATGCTTTTAGCTTTTAAAACATATTTGGAAGAATGTGTATCATAATAGATTATATACTTCCCCTCTGTAGTACTAAAACATACTGAAAGAACTCCACACGATGCCTAGTAACCCAGAATTATTAGAATTAGTTTCCAGTCATGTTTTCTTATTTGAGATCATCACAATGATGTCTGACCATTACTGCAGAACCATTGCTGTTTCACTGTGGACAGCAACAACAGCAGTTGGAGCCAGTGCTAGAGACGAACACAGCGCTTTACAGGGAGAGAAGTCATTGGCATGAAAAGTCTCTATTTGTGGGTGTCCGGCACACACTGGGACACATGCATGCTTTTTGGTGCTGTACAGAGTGTCAGTGATTTTGGTGGAGTTCCACACAGATCTTATGGACAATTCATCAATTACAGGGCTTGGATCCAACTTGAGAAAATGGTAATATTATACCCTTGGGGCTCAGGGAAGTGAAAGTAGGGAACACAATAAAGGAGATCGTTTTTTTGCACCAGTAAAACACATCTGGAATGACTTGATATATTTTATTTTTTAATGACCTTTTTTTTAGAGAAGACTAGCATTTATAGGTTTCAGAAAACAGTATGTTTTAAGAAGGGAGTTATATGAGGAGATACTGGAGGCACTGCAGACAGGAGTTAGAGGGTTCTGAGAATATGGTTCCACACGTAATTTCCAGTAATAATTCAGTTATCAGCAGAGCCAAAATAGGCCTTCATAGGTAAGGGTGTCAGATTCAGCTCTGAGATCACTCCAGTCACACCAAAAATGGTTTTAGCCTTATGATTTTTGTTCTAACGCCAGGTTTCTATTCTATTCTGAGAACAGATGCTCATTCTGGTAGCAGTGAAGATTAGCAGGAAGACCAGTATAAAAGCTCTCTTTCACCTTACTTTTGCATACCATAAACTCATGTATTCTATTGCTAATTTAATTAGCGATTACCCTCTTCAGTGAAACCTCTTGTCTCCATGAGAATTCTTGCACTTCCAGCAACGAAAGTTTGCGCCGCCGCTGAGGACAGCGCGGTCCTGCCGGCTCTGAGCTGCAGATGGCAGAGCTAGCCCAGCTAACGGTTTCCCCTGCTTACATGCCAGGAGCACAAAAGAACTGCAGCCTTCCAGTCTTTCAATCCCTTTTGCATTTTAAAGATAATTCAGTGGCACTCGAATCGCGCAATATTTGGGGGGTAAGGTCGCCAAACCAGTTGCTTTGAAGCAGCAAAGGTATCTGGTCGATCAGCGCTGGGCAGCCAATGAGCCCCAAAGTCTACCAAAAGACGCAAGTTTTTGCAGCTGTCTCTTCCCATATGGTTACCAGTTTTGTCTGTATAAGCAAAAGTTTCACTAACCACAATTTAAAAAAATGGAATTATCGAAAATTTTCATGTAGATGCCACTCAAAAATTTTCATGTATGATGAGACAACATCAGTTTTTCTGAATCAAACCACAAGGAATCTGACAAGTGTCTTCCCTGAAGTTTTA